TTTGAAGTACAGAAGCTTTTTAGTAAGATGAGATCCCAGTTGTTGATTCTTTCTGCTAGTTCCCGTGCTACTGAGGATTTGTTCATAAAGTCTTTTCCTATACCAATGTCTTCCAGAGTTCTGCCTAACTTACCTTCCAGCAAGTTTAATGTTTCTGTTTTAATATTTAGATCTTTAATCCATTTGGATTTTAATTTAGTGCATGGCGAAAGATAAGGGTCTAATTTTAATCTGTGGCAGGTTGATATCCAGTTTTTCCAACACCATTTATTAAAGAGGCTATCTTTCCTCCACTGAGGATGGTGAGCTCCTTTGTCAAAGATGAGGTAGCTGAGTACATCTGCATTTGTTTTTGTGTCTTCCAGTCTGGAACAGACTTTTCTAAGGAGATAAGTTTTAATATCTTCTTTGTATCATTTCGCATATATCACTTCATGTTTTCCCTATGGCAATCTTACAATGTTGGCAGTACTGTTTCCTTTTTAAGAACTGGTAAATGAAGAGCCAAGATATTAAGCAAATGTCCAAGCCCCATAGCAAGGGAGTAGTGGAACCAGTCTCTTTATCATCTTCTTTCTCAAATCCATATTTTTTACTGCTAAAAAAATTAGAATGAAAAGTTGCCAGGAACCTGACTGTGACATGAAAAAGTTTTCCTTTCCTTCACCTTTACCTTGGCTCCCCGCCCCTCCCTAGCAAGCCTGGACTCTGTCCTGAATCAGCTTCCAGATGAGAATAAAAGACTGATGGGGCCACTGAGCTCAAAAGGGGTGGGAGGAAGATACAGGTTTCTGGCCATGAGCTGAGAGGGGAGATGATATATATATTTGTTCCATGCTTTTTTGATATAAGGAACACAAAATCTGTTTTGGTTTGAAGAAAAGAACCTTCCTTAAGAAAAATGTCTTCTTTTAAAAAAGAGATAGTGAAAAAAAAAAGTACCAATAAACTCAATAAAATGAAAAAAAAAAGAGATAGTGGATTAGGGTGAAAAATATCTTACTAACCCCATTGTGTCAACAATGATTAGAAAGCAATATGGCTAATGCACTGGAGGGTAATCAAGAGTGAATATTGCACAAGTCACTATAATGATCATTATTTCTTGAACTCAAGAAGGAGATCTGGAAGAACTTTTTTAGCAAACATACAAATATTACTTGGTAGTATTCTCCCCATTGAATGATATGTTTGCAATAAGAAAACAACTTTTGTGTAAAGGCAGTTTGGGCAGGATAAAGAGAGGAATAAGCTGACCCAAGACCTTTATTAATGTGTAAAAATAAGGAAAACATGAGAGGAAAAATTGTTGGAGAAGAGCTTAGGTCTGTGTAGGAAGAAACAGGAAGTCACCATATCATGTTGAAGATGTATGTAGTTATATAGTGGCACCTTGGTTCATGAATGATTTTGTTTGCAAACAATCTTGTTTGCAAACACAAGTGTCTAACAAAATTTTGTTTTTCTTTGCAAACTCTGCATTGGATGACAAACATGACCATGGCCATCTTTCCTGCGTGAACATAAATGTAGCCATCTTTTCCAAAATTGTAGAACAATAAAGTTCATGAACTGAGGTACCACTGTATTTAATCTGTAACACTGTTGGCCCATGAAGGATCACATCTTTGAAGTGCAGAGAAAATTTCACTGCCTTGATAACAAACTAAAGTAGCACTTAATAGTTGAGGATTGATAATGCTAGCAAGTATTTCCATTTCTCCCCTCTGTTGACATATACAGACTGTGTTTTCCTGCCTCTCCACTGGTTGGATGAAATACTCTCACCTTTACCCAGCATGCTAGGAATAAAGTTGATGTGTCACTTCTTATGAAAGCATTTAAAAGCTAGCATGTTTTTCATTTTATTTTCCCTACCATGGTGAACCATCAAGGATTGTGATGAAGTAGAGATGCCCAAGACTGAAGTCCGAAATAATGAGCCACCACATGGAGGACAGATGTCCCAAAGAGCTACCTGGACCTGCAATGATTTAGAGTGAATAAAACTGAGTGTGTGTTGTCTTAACATCCCGAGAGTTTTGGTGATGTTTATTACCATAGTGTGACCTAGGCTGTCTTGATAAGCATGCTAGTAGGATACATAGACACACTCATACATACACAAAAAGTCAAAGGAACATACAAAACAGGCTACTGATTCTAGATTTAATTATATTTTTCAATACAGATAAATTACATGGAGAACATCAGTTCAGAAGTGACTTGTGCCTTTTTACTATTAGCTACTCAACTGGGGCACCTATAACCTTGGCATTTAGGGACCTTCATGTGATTGCTTCTCCTGTAGCCATTGCTCACACCCAAGCCCATTCCCCTTTGTTCTAACTCTCCTTATCTGGAGCCTGACCTCATGTCTTTCCTGGTCTTCTTGTACCTTGCCCTTTTGTCCTCTGGATGAGATGAAAGGGCTTAGGATTCCTATCTAAGGTTCATCTATGGAAAAACTAGAACTTTCCCCCATCAAGACAGCCTCCTCTTAGAAGGAATTTTAAGAGCAGGAGGCAGAGATAATCCACTATTCTGGTTGTCTGTTCTGTCTGTATGTTTGTATGATGTCTCAGGAAGAGGGTTTTGTGTTTTTGAGGAAAGTTAGCAAGAGGCAGGAAACAAGCCCCCCCCTTCCCACCACACTGTGAAGAAAAGTTTCATCTCTGCAGGCCTCTGTGGATGCCCAGTGAATGATGATAATGATGGTGTCTGACTTTTCATTTATGTGGTCTTTTCTCGTTTCTTCCCTAACACAAATGTGGTGTCAGGGGAACTATTAATGGCTGCTATTCAAAGACATGTGACTTGGTATTTATATATTACCTGCCCACTTCATAAAGTGTTAATGAATGTTTGCAAAGCTCTTGAAATCCTCTGGTGAAAGGTGCAACTTTAAGTGAAAAATATCATTATTATTATTAGAAGGCAATAGACAGCTTTGAATGATTGGTCATAAGAACAATTGACATAAGCATTAAAAGAAGCGCCAGAAATCATCTAGACAGATTCAGTGTCTCCAGCCCCATCAGCCTCCATATTACATATATTACACTGTTTCTCTGACACCCATTCTAATAACCATATAATTCACACATTAAATCACCCTTCCAGGGAAAGGTTGAGCTTGCTCAAGGCTCTATTGATATTGACACTGAGAGAGTATTAAATGTTGAAAGGTCTAAAATGGAAGAGAGGTGCTCCTAGACAGAAAGGCGAGATCCAGCTGCTGAGCAGCCACAACATTTAAGAGAGTTTGAGAGAGGAACGAGTCAGAGACACTTTGGAAACAGAGAGGAAACTTTACAAAAGACACAAGATTGGAATGCTATGAATGCAATAAAAATCTAAAGTAAATTAGACCAATACATAGGTTTTTTTCTTTATTTTTATTTGAAAAATGGTGGTAACAAAAACTGATTATGGTTTTCTAATTCCTTTAACCTAGGGTTGTTTAGTATTTCTCAGACTTCTGCATAAAACTTTTGGTCAGGGTTGGTAAATAGGTCCCCTGTACTTGTTAACTCTGGTTGGATGACAGTAGCTATTTGAGTAGAGTATCAGAAGACTTGTGGGGACACATCTGAACTCAGTGGGACTTGGTGTTAAGGTCCATTAGCAATGCCTGCATGGGAGAGGGAGGAGGAAGGGGGACACATAAGTGGTCTGGGCTGACTAGGTGTGAGGATGGTGAAAAATACAGTTTGGGCTTAGTTCAAGGTTTCTTGCTTATTTATTTATTTATTTAATTCTATTTATTTAAGAGACAGGGTCTTCCTATGTAGTTCAGGCTGGCCTTGAACTCACTGTGTTGCCCAGGCTGGCCTCAAGTTCATGTCAATCCTCCTGCCTCAGCCTCTCAAATTCTAGGGCTACAGGCATGCACCAGCAACCCTGGCAGTTGCTTTGGTTCTGACTTACAACCAAAGCTGCTAAAAAGCAAATTAAAAGATTTACCCTTAATAAGGATATATTTGGGAAGAAATGGCTTCTCTCTGCCACCTTCATTTTCCTCATAGAGGGTTGATCACTGTAGTCTGGTAGCTTTGATGGTCTGCATGGAAAAAGATGACCCCAGTTCTCTCAGGGAACAAAGAATGATGGCCTGTTCTCTTTTATTCCCTGGTCACATCAGCATCCACAAATACCTTTTCCTCCAGTGAAGGCTGCTATTGTGCCACTTAGCGTGCTATGTCTTTCCCTCCGCATTTCTGTATTCTGGGATCCTGGAATAGGATCAAAAAAAAAAGCGCATCATGCAGTGTCCTTGCCACAGGGTGGTTCTCAGAGTGGCATCTAGATCTGTGAGCTTCCTTTGAGTGATGACCTGCTTCTTAAGTCTTACTAATCATTATGAATTAGTTAATACTCCAGTTTTGTTTTGAGTTGAACATCTTTCTGATTTCTGTTTCGTTTCAAAAGGTGAGATCTTGTCTTATCAGTGGGGAAAGGTACAAGTGGGGAAAATAGTTATTTGGGATCCTTTGCTCAATGCACTGTTAACACTTTATTGTGCACTTGTGACGCATGAAGCATTGTCCTAAGCATTTGCTTTCGTTACTTCATGTAATCCTTTCAGTCGCCAGATGATTGGTGTCTGTCTTACAGATGAGAACAATGAGGCTTAAAGAACATATTTTCTTGAGGTTACACACACATGAAAAGAGGAATTGGAAGCCAGGCCAGTTAACTGCACAGCTCATTCTCTTACTCACTGCTCTGCACACCTCTGTGTCGTGTGGACTTGAAGACTTGCAGGGGATAAGGCTGGATTTTTCCGATTCCTCCTGGTATTTGTTAAACAGGCTCCATTGAGAACTGAGCTAAAGTATTTTGGTTGTCCATTCTCCTTCTTTTAAAGCACGAGTCTCACTTGTGACCTTTGGATGGTGTGATTACGGTCAGCTGTCTATCAGTTCTGCATTCATGGTCAACTACAGATGGAAAATACCTGAAAAAACAGTTCCAGAAAACAAAACTTGAAATTTTTGTGTGCCAAATACTATGCTTAGTTCCCACCAGGGAATAAATGTGTAGGCTTTGTATAATGTATTGAAAGTAATAGAAGAGATGATTTAAAATATTCAGGAGGTGGTATAGGTAATATGCAAATTCCACACTGTTGTATACAGGCAACTTGAGCGTCTTCAGATGCTGGAATCCCCAGGGGTTCTGACACCAGTCCCCCACAGATACTGAGGGATGCTGTGCTGCAAATGTCACCTTTACAGGTAATCCAAAAGTAACTGGATAACATTTGGTTTAAAGTACTGGATAACATTTCCCCTCTGTTCTTCATTATTTGCTTCAGGAAAAAAAATTATGACAATACAAAAGAAGAAATTGGTATCATCTAACATTAATAAACTTTACTTGTTGTTAGTCATCTTTTTAACTTTAGGTTAATATATAGAAGCACTATAGGTGTTAATTCTCTTTCTCCTTTAGGTGATTTACTGTCATTTAAACCAGCATAGTTAAATATCTACTCTTATTAACATCTTGGATTTTCCTCAGTTTTGTTGCTGCAGCAGTCACTGTTTCTCTGTGATCTTGGGTTTTATTTCTAGAAAAGCAGTGAACACTTTTATAATTTTACTGTGGGCTCTTTTCATAGCAAAACCTGTATGTCTATACTGATATGCACTTTGTATAGGGCATGTTATTAAAAATCAATCTGGCATTGAGGAACCTGAACTGGAGAATAGATTTGCTAATTTCTCAAGATTCTAATGAGGATCATGGAATTACTTTGGGTGATTTCAGATTTGGGTTATGAATGCCTTTTGGCTGTGTGAAGTCAAAATGGATAGTAGTGTAAGAAGCCATTAGCTATTCAAAATGGACCTTTAGTAGGATTCCTCCAACTCCCTTGGTCTGATTTCAGTAGGAAATTGTTAGTATAGTTCCATAAACATTACAAATAGCTAACAGGTAATGTGAATGTCTTAGTCTGTTTTTTTAAAAGTAAAATTTAAAATGTATGTCTAGATAAATTCTCTCCTTTTCTCCCTTCTCCCATCCTCTATCTCTGCCCTGTTTGTCTATACCAGATCAACAGCAAGAAGAAAGAAGTTGCCATTCAAAATGCAGAGAATATAGCTGGAGAAGCTCTTTGATTTAACTGTTGTTACTGAAATTTGTAAAGAATAAAATATTTAGAGCAGGAAATTATCTTAGAATTCTGAAAATATTCAAGGTGATTAAGCATCTGGAGAATGAGGGTCCAAGGTTGAATCTCCAGGCAAGGTTTGGGCAGTGACATAAATCCTTAGCCAAGAGCCGCAAGTCTCTTCAAAGTAGGGCTTAGATCTTAATCCTTTCTGCATCCTTGATAAATCATGTAGATTGGTAATAGGGACTTCACAAATATCTGTCAGCTGATACAACTGTTGCCTCCCAATATGTATCATCAAATAATGGTCCTTCTGTCCTCACCATAGCTTTGATGGTCATAGATTAAATTAATTGATCCCTGTTTTAGTTAACCTTTCTCATTGCTGAGATAAAACACTAATACTCAAACTTAAGGAAGGAAAGATTTATTTTAGCTAACAGCTTATAGAGGTTTTAATTCAAATTCAGCTGGCTTCCAAAGCAGGACATCACAGTGGAGAAACAGTCCATGACAAAGCAGGGCAGGCAGAAAGCAGCCAGCAGGAAGTAGCAAGCAACAAGTGACAGCAGCCACCCTCTTTCTGTCCCTTTTACTCCAACCTGGCTACATTGACTCAGGGCGGGTAGCACTCACATGCAGGATGGGCCTCCCCATTATCCACACTCAGAACTGTGCCAAACCAATCAGTGGACTGATTTAGTAATCACCCTTAATCCCAACATCACACACTCTAGATCCAGCCACCTCTGAAGAAGCCCCAGCTATGACCACGTAACAGTCACTTTAAATTCCTTCCGAACCTGTCTCAATGGATGCTGCTACACACTTTGACAGCAAAATGTCCCCAAAAGTCTCCT